CTAGAACTTGTTTCAATGCCAGTGACAACAACAGTATTCTCTGGATGGCTATCCCTCAATATTTTGGCGTAGCTCTTCAAGTATTTGTATTCATCGACATAGCTACCCTCTAGTTGTGTCATAACATGCTTCTTTGCCTTTTTTTGCCTTGTCAAGTGTGATGTTCACTTTAATTTTAGTCTTGCACCACTTTACAATCTCAGCTGGCTTTGTAAATGGTGCTTCATAAATCCTTCCTTTAAAAAGATCTACTACAACCTTGTAAGTTACAAGCTCATTTTCATAAGATTTGAAGCATCTATGCTCCCCATTGTATGTCTTCACCACAAAACACTCATATCTGCTGTCATAAGATGCAAACAACTCCCATTTGCACCCTGTTTGGCATCTAAACCTCACCCTAGTACGTTCATTTCTGACTTTTCGCAGTTGAGCTTGCTTTTGTATGGAGTATTTACAAACTGCCGTTCTGAATTGCTTTGCATCTTTGAACCTCATCCCAATATCAAAATATGGGACCTTCCATTTTGGGTTATAGTAGGTTTGACAGACATTTCAGCTAATAACATGATCTGGTTGCACAAAGATGTCATCCTTATCATCTGAATTCCAATGAAATTCCCAAGCACCAAGATCATCACTGTCTGCATAATCAGACTCCCTGTCTTCTTCATCTGTAGAGGAACCACTGTCATCACTGATAGGCAGTTGCTGCGTGCTGTCAATTGGATCACCTCTTCTCACCCTATCCCCACCACCTCGTCTGACTTAATGCTGAGCAACAGATTTCCTTTTTCTACCTCTACTGCATGTTGCAGTTTCTTCTATACCAGCAGCATCTATCACAGTAGCTTCTTGGACAGTAGCTTGATCAGCTGTGACTACAGGTTACTGTTGTTGCTGGACAGATGGTTGCTCTTGAGTTACTACACGTTCTTCAACATGATCATCTTCTTGCTCATTCCTAGTTGCAGTTTGCACAGCTGCCTTAAACTTCTTTCTACTACTTCTTGTGGTATTTCTCCTTCTCTTCCTAACCTCTTGAGCCAACTTAGCAATACTGACTTACTCATCATCAGTTTTGTCACTCCCCAATGACCATGCACTATCATCTGAACTTGTCTCCCAGTCAATAACTGACACATCATCACTACCACTATCGACATCACTACTTTTTTCACATCCTAAATTACCCTCATCCCCATGCACACAAACATCACTACCACTATTGTCACCCTCATCTTTGGAAACATCCCTTGTGAGCAATAGTGGACCCTCAACAATCTCAGGTATATTGATGTCATGGTCTACATACAACTCCACATTGCCAGCATATGAAATTATATCATTCATCTCCCTAATTGCACTGTCTTAATTACAAGAAACTAATCCATCTGGCATATCCATCCAAGGTTGCATATAATAAATGTCTTTAATTGAAACTCGATCATAACCTTTTCTAACAACATAGTCAGTAATCATAAATGAATTCAACCTATCCGTATCACATGGAACATCCTCTCGTACACCCCCTACATATCTAAATGGTGGTCCCTGTACAAAAC